AAAAAAAAAAAAAAAGATGGTAAGGAACAGGACAGGTAATCATTTAATTGAAATCATCACTAATAATGAAAGCTCTCCTTGGATAAGTAATAGATTTCTGGAAAATCAAAGTCATTTTCTTATAACTGGCCCTCAAAATTTAAACATGAAATTAAACATTAAATTCAAACCAATTCAAGCAATACAGAATAGAATTCGAAAATCAAGAGTCTACATCGGAAGTATAAGCAAGTAGAAAGAGTGTTGCTTGCTAATGAACTACAAATTTTTTAATGCCAGAATAAGGAAAACTGAGATTCAGATGCCCTTAAAAAGCATCTGACAATTCCAGATGAAGAAAAGGTAAACACTAAAACAACAAAATGCACAAAATCCTAGAAGAGATAAAATAACAACCATAGCAAGAATCTTAAAAAGGGAGAATGGTACTTCAAAAGGTCGTCGTTAAATCAAGATTCACGAAGATCTACTCCAGGTGTACTATCTCTAATAGTTTCCTCCCACAATGAAAACAAGGGGGAAATACTGTATTTTAACTCTAAGACTGAAACCGGAAATCGTAGTTTCATCCCAATGGAAAATAATTTTTTTTCAATTATATATGAAAAGAGGTCTTTAAAAGAAGAGTGAAGAAGCTATAGATAAAGAACAAAAGAAGTGGGTGTGAGAAAGACAACTTTAAAAAGTTAAATGACTACAAACACTTTACATGTCACCGGAACCGCGTTTAACTCACCTCCCCCGTTTGTTACTACTAAACTGCCCCCGTCCTCTTGGTACTGGCTTTCTCTTCGTAATCTCTGTTCTTTAGTAATCTCTGCTACGCGAAGAGGCAGATCTGAAAATTCATCTGTAGGCTTAAAAAAGAAGCAGAAACATTAAAAACAATCATTTTAGTGCATGGCGGCTCATGCCGGTAATCCATGTACTTGGGAGAACGAAGCAGAGGGATCACTTGAGGCTAGGAGTTTAAGAACAGGATAGGCAACACAGCGAGACCACGTCTCTTCAAGGAATTTAAAAATATCTGGGTGTGCTCACGCATGCCTGTAATCCTAATACTTGGGATGTTGAGGCGAGAGGATCGCTTAAGCCCAGGAGTTCAAGGCCGCAATGAGACAGTATTCCACCACTGCACTCTAACCTGTGTGACAAGGCAAGATCCTATCTCGGGGAAAAAAAAAATCTGGCCTGGCGTGGTGACTGATGCCTATAATCTCAATACTTTGAAAGCCCAGGAGTTTGAGACTAGCCTGGGCAATAGAGGGAGACCCCCATCTCTAAAAAAAAAAAAAATTAATTAATTAGCCAGGCATGGTGGCATGAGCCTGTGGTCCCACCTACTCAGGAGGCTGAAGTGGGAGGACTGCTTAAGCCAAGGAGGCTGAGGGTGCAGTGAGCCATGATCGTGCCACTGCACTCCAGCCTAGGTGACAGAGCAAGACTGTCTCAAAATACAAAAATGATTCATGACTCCATAAATCTGTATATACAGATAGATTTAAAATATCTACATATGTACCTGTATGGATACAGCTGCATTTATGAACCCACCCACCAAGACATATAAACGCAAGTAATTCCAAATTTCAAGTGGGACGTGGTCTAAAATTAATTTGCTTTTGATTCCCAATAAACGTTATAAATATAGGTTATTAGTCTTGCTAACCAAAGTTTATTAATAACTCAATGCATAGCTAAAATATTACACATAAGTAATTTTTACTTCTTTTTTTTTTACTTTTTTTTCTTCTGTGGACACAGTAATTTTTAAGAGCAGAAAACATATCAATAATTTAAAAACCAGGAAAACGACAGAATTAGCTAGGAATTTATTCATCTTGAGCATATGAATACTCTTCACTAAGGTTCTCGTCTCTCTTTACCCATCAGCCTAAAGCCCTACTTGTTTTCTCACTTCTAGCGCCTCTGCTCAAGATTACCCAGCCTCTCAAATTTTAGGCTTCAGTTTCCACTGGCTCAACTCCTGCTTGCCTTTCTATGATATGAAACTATTAAATGAGACAATGAGGTAACAGACAGGTGGAAATACACGTGATAGAAAGCCGGTAAAGAAGTAGAACACCAGTTGTGGCAGGACTATGTGGGATTCTTGCCTCGGCTTTTCTATATTTTGTGTAATGAGAAATTGAATCCAGTTAAGACACATTCCATTTTCATTATTTTATTTTCTCTTAATCAGGTGTTATAACACACAGAATATAAAAAACACTTACTTCATTCCCTGACCATCTCTTATCACCACTGTCCACACTATTGAAGCCTGAATCAAGGGCTCCATAAGGGCGACTTGAGTACAGTTCTTCATGGCTACGGGAAAGAGACTTTGTTACTGCAAAGTTTGTTATTTTAACAACTAACAAATTAAACAGATGCAACTTTCTTAAAAACAAGAAATGTGGCATTCAGTCACTTAACTATTAGAACTAAATGGTGTTTTTTTTAATATGAAAAATTCCAAATAAAAACAAAGTAAACAGAATAGTATGGGACTTCATGTACTCATTATTATCCAGCTTCAAAACAATGGCACCTCTGCAATTCTTGTTTATCCAATGAGAGGTGAGTTTACTGGGACTGTGCTTTCAAGCAAAATTTGAGAGGTTCCAAGAGAAGGCCTGAGGGGTTCTCTCTTTTGAGCAAAGCCCATAAACATTATTTCACTTTCACTGAAACATCTATCCTGCTTGTTTAAAGGCCCTTGAATTTAATTCTTGCTACTCAAGATTACGTCATACTCAGGAGGCTGAGGTGGGAGGACTCCCTGAGCTCAGGAGTTGAGACCAGGCTGGGTAACATAGTGAGACCTTGTTTCAAAAAAAAAAAGACTATTCCAGATGGTTGGGATTGCCAAGCAGATGACCTTATAAGTCATATGGTATGTAGCTGAGGGACTCAAGACTTAAAAGATCCTGAAGTGATGTTAATGGTCAACAAATCCTACTCTTCACTCCCTGTAGAAAAAAATGAAACCCAGAAAGTATGAATGACTTGCCTTAAGCTAGTTAGCAGCAGAAGTAAAGTTAGTGTTCAAGTCACTCAGACCAGTAGTTTTCAACTGGAGGGCCCCAAAGGGACATTTGGAGACACTGTCGTTTGTCATCTTGGGAGGGTACTATTGGCATCTAGTGGGTAGATGCCAAGGATGCTGCTAAATGTCTTATAATGCACAGGACAGCCCACAACAACAAAGAATTGTCTGATCTAAAATGACAATAGCGCCAAGGTTGAGAAGCCCTTAGAACTACACTTTGCCAGATCTAGGTAATCAACTTTACAATTCATACAAGCTTTCTGAGAATAACAGTGTTAAAACAGGTTATTTCCCTATAGTCAAACATTCAGGCAAATTTAAGTAACGATTTTATTTGATTCGTTGTACAAAAATATGATAGGTAAAGGAAAAGAATATACTTACCAGGAGCCAAAACCCAATGGTCTCCTATCATAATCTGGCAGATCTGGAGCAATCTTACAAGCCTGTATGTTCAGGTATTTAAATATGTGGATTTTGCCTTTTATACATATCTAAATAAAAGTAATATAAATGTAACCAAATTATTATACATCTGAAGTATGCTTATCATTATCAACTTTTTATGTAATGTATATTGAGAATAGGAGGCATTTCTATCAAGTACATACAGTAATATTAAAAAACAAATATTCTTATAATAAATTATATTATTTAGTTCAACATTATTTTAGGTGTTTAACTGGTAAATATAAGTTTTCATTTTCTAGTCACTAATAAATTTCAGTAATATATAAAATAAATAATTTTTGATTATACTGTTCAATTATCAAGTTAACTTATCTTTTTTTTTTTTTTTTGAGACAGAGTCTTACTCTGTTGCCAGGCTGGAGCACAGTGGTGCAGTCTCGGCTCACTGCAACCTCCACCTCCCGGGTTCAAGCGATTCTTCCACCTCGGCCTCCCAAGTAGCTGGAACTACAGGCATGTGCCAAACACCTGGCTAATTTTTGTATTTTTAGTAGAGACAGGGTTCCGCCATGTTGGCCAGGATGGACTCGATCTCTTGACCTCATGATCTGCCTGCTTCAGCCTCCCAATGTGCTGGGATTACAGGCGTGAACCACCGTGCCCGGCCTCAAGTAAACTTATCACACTGATTAGTCTGCATAGTCAGAGATTTAAAGCATTTCTCCTCAATAGATTACATGAAGCAACTTTTACTTTTAGGAATCCAACAATCACGTACAATTATATTTTTGATCATGCTTTCCTTGAGAGCGAAGAGCAGGAAAACATGAAATATTAAAATTACATATATTTCTGTTGCTACTTGTTCTAGAAGTCAAAACACAAATTCTTGAAGCTTATAAGACCCTTCTATTGTTAGGAAGTTTACTCATAAAGTTTTATAGTTGCCAGAGTAGCATACACAGCTGGGCATGGTGACTCTTGCCTGTAATCCCAGCACTTTGGGAGGCCGAGACGGGTAAATCACCTGAGGTCAGGAGTTCAAGACCAGCCTAACCAACATGGTAAAACCCTGTCTCCACTAAAAAATACAAAAAATTAGCCAGGCATGGTGGCAGGCACCTGTAATCCCAGATGCTTGGGAGGCTGAGGCAGAAGAATTGCTTAAACCCAGGAGGCAGAGGTTGCAATGGGCCAAGATCGCGCCACGGCACTCCAGCCTGGGCAACAAGAGCAAATCTCCGTCTCAAAAAAAAAGGGTAGCATATGCTTGTATAAGATCATCTATAAATTGCAGAGTTAAAAAATAGCTAAGTGAAAATAATGAGTTGGCAAAAATATATAGGTTGTTGAATGTTCAGCATCTACATGTAAAGTTTCCTTATAATTATTACTATAGAGCTTCATTTCAGTCACTGATAAATGACCAAATAGTCTAAACTAGGAATTTATGACTTTAGAACTAGGAAGGTTACCATAACAATGGTCAGGAAAAGAAATATACAGATAATTTTTAGCTCTGAAAGCTGAGTATTTTTATTTGTCTCAAGCGTTTATGTTGTCTACACTCAAACTGTACAGAAAAAAATTAAGAAATTAAAATTTACTAGAAAAAAATTAAAATTTTATTAGAAAAAGATTTAGGGAAGAATTCTTCAATTTTAAAAGAATACCAATTTAGAAAAAGGAAAAACACTTCTGGGAACCACATTGTTTATCTTCTAATCCATTAATTCAAGGCTTCTAAAGAATACGTTATGTATGTGAATTTATTTTAAAAGAAATTATTTTCTAACAGAACGATAAATGTACAAAAAATTTTAAATTTCATCCTTTGTCATCCATACCATGCTCACTATGGTTTACCTGTGCAGGAGGCGACTGTAGTGGATTGTTATCCAGGGTGATCACCTGTAGGTGCCTGAGGTTCCGATAACAAACAGGAATTACGGTAATTTTATTGCATGAGAAGTCTAACCGTATCAAAGGCAACTCTGCCAGCTCTGCATGAAGGTAAAATGAAAATGACCAATTAATGATGTTTTAAAATTAGAGAATTTTTCCAAAAGCTTCTAGTTAAATATCATATTTACTCCCATTCTCTTTTAGTGACTAACTGGTAGTAAAGTGGTATAAATGAGAAAAGTGGTAAAGTGGTATAAATGAGATCTAGCTGCCTAAAGACACAATTACTAATAACAAGCAAGCAGCTTTGACCCCCACAGAACTACAGAAAGTCTCAGAAACTGGAGGCCCTGATACCACAAAAAGGTGAGAGTAACAAAAGAATTAGATAACACTCTATATAAAGAACAGTTATGCCTGGGTCCACAGCCCCCACTAACACAGCTGGGGCACTATCCTTCTCCAGTGTCCCCAGGAGTCAGCAAGTTATTTTCTAGTGAAATTGAATAAAAAATGCTCTGAACTCAGGGATCCCAGGCACAATGCAAAGTCAGGATGAGTTGTCGGCTGAAATGGAGGAGTTAGGTGAAAGTCTACACACTTAACAGTAAGACCTCAACACCTTCCCACCCCACCCTATCCCACTTCAACCCCAGGAATGGCAGTAGTTAAGAATATACACAATAATGTAGAAGAAATGGAGCTTCCTTCTCTGGATAAACTTCACAGTCCCATATAAAAGGCCTTTATATAATGATATAGAATTTCTTCTAATAAAATACACAGCTTGCTACTTAATTACCATTATGCAATTTCTGCCCAGTATGCTCAGAACTTCTAATCAGTTATATAAAGTGTACAAGAAAGGAAATAAAATTAGAGTACATCACTTGAATTGGCAGGGAACAATGTTTACATAATTATAGTAATGTGAACCCTGAATAACAATTTAATCAAAAGTTGTGATAAAACTACACTGGGAAGATGGGAGGACAGTAAAAGGCATGATATGATGACAGTGTAAGGAAATTAAATCCTCATCTATCACAACAGGAAGTTGACATAGGAGTCAAAGTCACCCAAACCAGCAATATCCATAAAAACATATCAATTAGACATATGTCAGCAGTCCAGGCACTGTGGCTCATGTCTGTAATCTCAGCACTTTGGGAGGCTGAGGTGGGCAGACTGCCTGAGCCCAGGAGACCGGCCAGGCAACATAGTGAGGCCCTTGTCTCTACAAAACAATGCAAAAATTTCTGGGTGTGATAGCACATGCCTGTAGTCCCAGCTACCTGGAAGGCTCAGAAGGGAGGATGGCTTTAGCGCAGGGAGTTCGAGGTTATAGTGAGCTATGATCATGCCATGCACTCCAGCCTGGGTAACAGAGTAAGACCCCATATCAAAAAAAAAAAAAAAAAAAAAAAAAAAAAAAAAAAAAAAAAAAAAAAAAAAAAGAGTCAATGAGTTTAATGAAGGTACATACTTTTGGCCATTGAAACTGGTGTGTAGGGACATTCGAGGCAGGGGAATTATACTATTTATTTTTCTTCTTTTTTTTTTTTGTTTGTTTTTATACTATTTATTTTAAGCTTAATATTTTTTGACTGATGTAATATCATATTTGGTAAAAATTAAAATTAATTTTAAATCAAAATGGCAATATAACAAAAAAGATATGATATCTACCAAACTGCAATGTTAGAAATTACCAATTAAGTAACACTAACTTCCATATTATTTAATGTGGAATAAAGCTTCACCTGCCATCTCATTTCAACATATGTGCTGAGATTACAAAAGAAACTTTAAAAAAATGAAACTATTTTTGTGATAAATGGTTTTTGTCAGCAGTCTACAATCAAAATAAGATACAGAAATAAATTAGCTGATAAAACTATTAAGCTTCAATTGTCATCTGAAACACTCAATTTTCATTTTGATTAAAACCCTAGTATTTTTGTTAATTGATTTCACACTAAATAAATATTATTATAAGAGTAAGTCTTTAAAGATCAACCATAGTAGGTGAGTCCTGAGTACAGAGATAACACAAGAGAGAAATTTGGGATTATAAGGTCCTAGAGGACAGGATTTTGGTTTTGCTGAGGGCCTTCATTTACATTCCTGAGTTGGTAGCAAACAGAACCAGGAGCAAGTAAGGAAGGCCCTAGGATAAAGGGTGTGAAGGTTACTGGACAAGCCAAGTGAGAGGAAAGATATGCAAGATTTTGGTTGCAGTAAGTGAGTAAAGGTAGACTGAAAAGGTCACATCCTTACACATTTACTTGGAATCCAAAATGTCAAAGCTCCACTAGTATGTTAAAACTAAGTATTATGCTGAATCAAATTGGTGTAAATATTTGAATTCCACAGGGAAAGTAAAAATATCATTAGTTAATTCAACACTTATTGTGGCCAGGCACAGTGGCTCACACCTGTAATCCCAGCACTCTGAGAGGCCCAGGCAGGTGGATCTCTTGAGACCAGGAGTTCGAGACCAGCCTGGACAACATGGCAAAACCCTGTCTCGACTAAAATTAACGGGGCGTGGTGGCGAGTGCCTCTAGTCTAAGCTGCCTGGAAGGATGAGGTGGAAGGGATCACTTAAACCTGAGAAGTTGAGGATGCAGTGAGCCATGTTGGTGCCACCGCACTCTAGCCTAGGTAATGGGAGTGAGACCCTGTCTCAAAACAAACAAACAAAATATTGTGTACACTGTAAGTCCTATTTTGTAAAAGAACCTAGAAAATCACTGTCATGAAAATATCTTCAGAAGATTATTTTTCTGGAATGTTTGCCAATAAATTTCTGTATTTGATTCAAATTAATCTAGTGAATAGCGGGGAAGAAAGTAAATGAGAGCACAGATGAAACAAGACTTGCCCTGAGCTGATAATTGTTATTTCTGGGTAGTGAGCAGAAATACATAAGAAGAAATGGATAGTCTGGATCTAATAAAATAACAGTTTTCATTTTCATCTTCTTTTCTAGCGTTTTGTTTCATGAATTTGTGAAAGATTGATAAATTACACTTAATTTGTTTAATCATTCTTACCGTTCAAATACATGTATCTGAG